ATTGGGACTCTGGACCAATCTGTGTATTTTGCTGGGCCTTGGACTGCTACGTTGTTTACTAGGCGGAGGTGGTCCTTTTTCTGCTTTTTCGTTTGAAACTCCATTGATGATCCTCCGATGATTGGTAGTATCATGCCTATTGTGGGTAGCGGTCCGTGGGGGTTGACTTGGTTTTCTGGGTTTGGCTCATTTTTTGGTGTTGGTGGTTGGTTGTGAGGTGGCGGCGGAGGCAGTTGCTGCATGTGCTGCTGTTGCGACGGAGGCTCGAACTTGCTTTGGTTTTGTGGCGGTGGGTTTGTTTCGAGGTAGGTTATGTGGGGAGATTTTGGGTTTAAGTAGGTCAGGCTTCCCTCCGACCTGTAGTTACCCGCCGGAGGCTGCTGCGAAGGCGCTGGCCGCCATGCTGGTAGGAAGTTTGGGTAATAGGTAGAGGCCAGTGTGGAGGGATGTATTTGGTTTGCGTTTAGCGCTGGGTAGATTGGGCAGTACTGCTGGTGGCCATTTGTGTAGGTGGTGTTGACCTCTCTTGCGCTCTACTGTGTCAGAGGTTGGGCAGTCTATTTGTTCTTCATCCTTTCCTGTGTCTCTTTTGTCTCCGGACAATCTTTGGTGCTGTGCCCTGCGCTTTCGCCGTGAAAAACGCAATATGGCCTGCGTTGTTTCTGGTTGTGGTTTTTGTTCCAATTTTTGCCTTGGTAACCTTGCCGACCTTGGTTCCTGGTCTGGGTCTCCGGCCCTGCTAGTGCTACCAGTTGCCCTTGTTCGGGGTAAGGTTGACCCTCGATGCTGAGCACTTGCCCCTGGCCTGGTTTCTGATTTGATGCATTCTGGTTCGTATAGCTTTTCTGGGAGTTTTTGCTGCTGTTTTGCTGTCTGTTTTGACCCTGCTCCTCCAGCCTTTTCTGGAGGTCATTGTCTGATCTGTAGTATTTCTCGAACTCGTCATACAACTGCTGTATGGAAGTTGGTTTCTTTCTTGCTAGGTGTGCTGTGAATGGCCCGATTCGGAGGCCTTTGATCGCTGCTTCAATGGCAATCTCGTCTGGGACGTCTGGTGCCTTCGCCTTTAGTTGCACGAATTTCCTGAAGTAGTCGTGTAGTGTCTCTCCCTGCATTTGCTTGCACTAGAACAGATCTGTGGAAGTCAGCGACTGTGCTGTTAGCCCCTTGAAGTTTGCCAATATCTTGTCCCGGAGGTTCTCCCAAGAATAGACTGTGCTTGGTTTGATCATAGAATACCAAGCCAACGCGTCGCCTTCGGCTGCAATGACAAATGACTTTGCCAAGACGGCGTCATCTCCACCGGCGGAGGCTACTGCTGCCTCGTAACTCATAATGAACTGATGGTGGTCTGTCTTTCCGTTGAACTTTGGTAGTGTGATTGGCTTGTACGCCGTTGGCCATGGCGACTGTTGTATGCCTTCAGAGGGTGGGGACTTGGGATTGATAGGCCTCCGCATCACCTGAGATGGCATCGTGGGCTGGCTGATCACTGGCGGAGGCCCTTGTGGTATGGTTGCAGTTGGTGTTGCTACGAAGGCTGGGATTGCAGAGGTTGATGGTGGTACTGCATGCTGCATACTTAGCATCTCAGCATGTAGGACTACCAACTGCTGCCTTATTTCTGCTACTTGTGCTGATGCTTAAATAGCTTGCTGATTAGCTGCGAATGCTGCTGCCATTCTGTCCCTCTCTTGTTGCGCTCTTTGCAACTGTGCTTGCAGCTGTTGCAGTTCTTGCTCGAGTGTTGTGGCTGAGTTTGGTTGGGCCTCCGGATCTTGAATCTCTGGATCTTGGGGTTCCGGTGGTTGACCCTGGGCATCTACTCTGGTGTCATCCTCCACTGGCGAGGTTGCCTAGGTGCTACGAGTGGTTCGCCTAGGCCTTCCTCGCGACCCGTGGTCGTTGCTGCTCTGGTGGTGGTTTTTCTTTTCCTTGCCATCGTTGGTTTGCCTTGGCCAAACCACGGTGGGCGCCAATGTTGATACTTGCAGTCTCAGACAATGTGGAGGAGGTGGAGGCCTCCGCCCGCCAGGCGCTGCCCTCAAGCTGAGGCTTGGGAAACAGACACGACAAGCGGGCGTGTAGGGAAATGGCATGTAAAACTAGGGTTTCATTAATTCATTCACCAACGTCCCGTACTGTTACAAGTGTTCCCTATTTATAGGGCTCAACTACCACTTTACAGAGTTTACAATAGTACCCTTCAACTGCTACAGTACATTCTCGGAATATTCCACTACTCACCTTTCCTCTCGGGGGTAATCTTGTCATGCCACCCTCAGGTACTGGGCCTGCGTGATCAGCCGGCCCATCAAGCCTCAGGATTCGGCGACGGGCCTTTGGACCTCCATCGTCGGTCTCCGCCTCATCAGGCCTCAGGATTCGGCGACGGGCCTTTTGACCTCCGCCGTCGGTCTCCGCCTCATCAGGCCTCAGGATTCGGCAACGGGCCTTTGGACCTCCGCCGTCGGTCTTCGCCCCGGGGACGCCGAGGCCGCAGACCCCCGACGCCCAATATTGCCGTCCTCCTGCTTGGGTCTCTGCCCCTATGAGCGGAGGCCGAACCGGCGTGCCCGCGCCGTCCACGAGCGCCTTCCTCTGGTTACCTGCACACACACGTAGGTAACGTTGGCACTTGATTAGCCTTGCAGCGGGGCGGCCTCCGCCCCCTCCGCCCAGAGACGCCTACGAGCTAACCGGGTGGAGGCTGCGCCAGGGTCACCGGCAGCGTCCTGCAAGCAGTTTGAGAAACCGTCATCTTTCTAGGTCTGGAGGCGTGGTAGCTGGGCCTTTGCTAAGGTAGTTTGTCGGAGACGTCTTTGCGAACTGCTGGCCGCGTAGGTCTCCGCCACTCTCGGAGGCCGTATTACAACAACAGACATGGTTTAGAAAACGATGCAATGAAGAAGAGAAAATAAATTTGTTGGCTTGCAAATGACGCATGCCATGATTGACAGAGCTCTACTATGAAAAGGATTTGTAGAGATGTCTGGTTTTTCAGCAATGATGTCTCAATCACCCGCAACCCATATTGTGCCTAAGCTCATGTTCGACTGTGATCTCAATCTATCACCCAAACAATAAAGAACGAAACTAAGTAATGCATAAGGGTCATGTCCTCTACGGCTAGAAATTTAAAATAATTTTACCGATTGTAAACATGTACGTCATTGTTTGTTATTATATATTTCATCGTCTGTGTGACTTGGTTTTTTGTTTGTTGCTGGGTAGAAGCTAGCTGGTGATGCTTTCATTCAAAGAGCAATCGCGTTCCAATACCAAAATTTGGACACCAACCATGATTATCATGTTTAGTCAAGTGAGCCAAGTCTTAAACAAAATTAGCCAGCCTAGCCCGCAAACTAATCAAAGGCATGGTTTAGATAATGATACAACGAAGAAGAGACACTAAATTTGTTGGCTTGCAAATGACACATGTCATGATTGAGAGAGCACTACTATGAAAAGGATTTGTAGAGATGTCTGGTCTTTCAGCAACGACGGCTCAATCACCCGCAACCCCTGTTGTGCCTAAGCTCAAGCTGCACTTAGCTAGCCAGCCCTACAAATGAATTAGTAGAGGTGGCTAGTATTATCAGCCAAACGTGAAAATTGAGGGGGGGGGGGCTGGTAAAACCAGCTGTCTTTAATAATCTATTTGTAGGGGCGGCTAGATATATAGCCACCTCTATTAATGTTCCGGGTGTATGTAGGAGCCCCCTTCTTTCTTCTTGGGTCATTTCCTGCTACCCGAGAAGGAAGAAAGTGGGGCCTTGGGCTACCTCCCAAAAATTCCAAATTTAACGGTGAAAGGTTTTGCTATTCCAAGCTTCTTTTTGAAGTTTTACTTGTAGATTAGTGCTTAATTAAGATTTTGATTTTCTCTCTCTAGTATGGTGGTTGAGGCATTTGTGGAGGAAATTAGACCAAATCTTAGAAGGTAGTAGGATGAATTTATTAGGGGAACAAGATTCTACCCTTATTTAGTGGCCATGTCTTGATTTTAATGGACTATTAATTAGTTTTAACCAGGGATTTGGTTTGGATCTAGACCTAGATCTAGAACCAGAGTTTGGGATTTTAACTTTTTTATTATCAACATTCATATTATTTTTGTTTTAGAAACAAGATTATGTTTGCCTGAATAGTAATGGATAAAATATTAATTGGTGCTAATTGTTTTCTTTAAAATTATTTATTAAAATTAAGAAAGTAAAAAATATTTGTTTAGTGGTACATTAGTTGGTTAATGAGGTTGTTTATTTTCTCTTTCTTGCATAGTGGTTGAGAGGCATCAGTTACATTTATGGTACAAATTAGATCAAAACTACATATTTATATTTATAATTAAGAAATGGGATTGCATGAACAATATGTGTAGGTGTACTGTTTTTTATTTATAATTGAAGTAAGAATGGCCTTTTACAATTATATTGTTATATACTAGTAATATTCTTTCAAGTTATTACTGATTTTTATATCTCAATTAATCTTTTTTTTCTTTGATTGATGTCGGAAAATATGGACTATAGGTACTTATGGATGTATGGTTCATTATGGTAGAAACCAGGTTTCTGCGCGGAAGTGGATAGATTTATTGAAGCCGCAGAGAAGCATGCAATGACGACCCAAAATAAAACTGAAATTCTTTGTTCGTATAGCGACTGCAAGAACCATCTCGCACGGAAAGATGCACCTGTCATCATATCACACTTGATTGTGTGGGGTTTCGTTAAGGACTACACAGTTTGGATCTATCATGGTGAAATGCTCACGTTGATCCAGAAGAAGAAAATACCGACGACCGTGATTATATGGACACATTTGTAGCTGAGCTTGATGAAGAAATGCATGGCATAAACAAGGTGGTGGTGGTGTTGCTGGTGGTGGTAGCGATGCGCGTGGCTCTTGGGGCCAGGGCCAGGCAGGGAGCCAGCGGTGGCGTTCTTGGGCTCCTTCAGTCGGCACGGAAGGGGAGGTTACCCTGCACGAAAAACATGGCATCCGGCCTCGCCGAGGCGCATAAAATGCTCAGGAACCGAGGTAATCAAAACGGCATCATCTTGTTCTTCTCCGATGGGTTGATAAACAAGGGAGACTTCTTTGATGGAACGGAGAACTTCAAGTCAGAAGTCCCTGTGCACACGTTTACTCTTGGCGGGGACGCATATAATGAGGTACGTGTCATGTCCGAGCTAATCCTGTCAAAATTATTGTTTATTGATTTATTATTAAGTCAATCCTTATGCCGTGTATGTGATGGTAGGGTCTCCAAGCCATTGCGGATAATTCCCGGAGTGGGATGTTCCACCCCGTTCCTGTTCCAGATAGACCCGAGCTCTCAGTGCGCTTCTCAGAAATACTTGATAGCCTCCTTTTGGGCACCAAGAGGAACTGAATTTACCAATAGTATCCATGAATTTCTTATGTTTTCGACACACACATGGACACCATTTTGAACACCTTTCCTCTTTTATTGCTTATTATGTAATAACGGAACGCTGTGTTGTCTGTAACATGTTGTGCCCATAGAGCCGTGTCCTAGGCTGTTTAGATTTCCCTAGTCTGCAGGTAGATGAGTTTGGACACGGTGGCTCGCGCCGTGTGCTTCTTCGGCTGCGACGTCGCCCACTTTTTGTTGGCCGTGGGATGGCATGGCAATTTCGCAGGGCATGGGCGAGCGCGATCGGATGAGGTCGTCCTCTGTAATCTCGCGTCAATAAAATGAGAAGAAAACCAGAAAAGCAGCAGTTCCTGTGCTGCGCCAAAAATCCAGTGTCTGTCCGTGTTCATAAGAGTTCATTAGTGTTCATCGTGATTGAGAGAGGAGAGAGGTGCGCGTTCTAGTGACGATTGATCCCGATAAGGATCCAACACGCTGATGCCCTATGTTCCAATAACTGCATGGATCAACTTGTTTCTTCTGTTTTCTTTTAAGTTTTAACCCAACTTTCCTTCAACTCTTTGTGAACTGTGACATATTTTTTGATCCAATTAGATGCCAGTGCACATGAGCATGTCGTGCTTGCACTTTGCAACGCTTATGCAAAGACTAAATATTGCGGTTCTAGCAAACAAATGGTCCGGTTTCATTATTTTTCTAAGTAGACCAACGAATGCTCGTTCGGGAGGGATACATGTTCTCAATCAAACATGTCGAGAGCAATATGGAAGGCACATTGCAAGGGGAGTCCCGTCTCGAGCACGATACGTAATACACATCGAGGAGAGCTCTATAAACCTCACTTCCCACTCTCCCAGGAGGGACGTAAGATGATGGTTTGTCCTATGTCAGCCTTTCTTTTGAGAAAGGTAGTTTTTATTAAATTTCAACCACTTTACATCGAGATGATACAAAATCTAGAAAAGCGCTCCTGGCATTTGCCTAAATAAGCACACAGCCAACAAAAAAAAGTAGCCCAACACATTCTAGTGACTATCAATCCGTAAACTAGCTAGATCAGCACCCATGTGCCTAAGAAAAAATGTTCTTGTGTAACACCCAAAAATAAATAGGAAATAAATATGTGTTTTAAAGATTGATTAAGTTTCTTTAGTGAGCATTGACCAAGCACTTTACAGAGAGGCCAATAGTTGACTTTTTATCCGCTGCTGCTCAGATAGATGATCAGAGGCGTTGGACGTGTAGGATTCGTCGAATGCTTTCCGTTTGACTACTCACATGCATTGTTTGGTATTTGGATAACAAAGTTGCTTAAGATGCAAAGCCTGACAAAAAAGGAAAAAACCAAAATGCAACTGTACTCGGGAGATGCTGTAGTGTCCGTCGGTGCTACAGTGACCGGGTCCTTCTCTATTCCTTTTCCTCCTTTATTTCCCTACCGTGGACTAACCAAGTGTGACCGCACCTCCCCTACTGCCTCATGTGCTTGCGAATGAGAAAAACAATAGGAGAAGGGAGAAGACGGGAAGGACTAAGGCCTGCCGCATCGCTGGCGTGCCCGTTCTTCTTCGAAAACCCGTTGGAGCAACAACCCGATCATCAAAAGGAAGGACGTAGTAGATTGCTAGAGGTTTGTCGTCGTGCTCATTGTGGTTTCCATAGGTGAGATGTCAAATGATAATCCGCTTCCTTGGATCAAGTTTTTTTCTCGATTGAATCATCTAATTAGAAGGGGTTGGGTTAGAGTAATTCCAGAAATCAATCTCGTCTACGCTCTGAAATTCCGTTAGACTATGCAGTTCCTGTTCATCATTATTTTAGGGCATCTTAATGGCCTTAATAAATTTTGTCACTATGTACAAAGTTGTAGTGGACTTCAATACATTTCTTTGGAAACTAAGACAGACCTTCATATAGCCCTTATACTTTTGGAGATATTATCGTTTTAAGAAAGTAATTTCGGTCATCGCACTATACCTCTATTGCCATTTTCTTGATATCAAGTGAATAACTCTATTTATTTGTTTTCTTGGGCAGTGCTTGGGTAAGGTTCCTTTCGTAAAATAAAGGTGAATGGAAGGCTCCTATGAATATAGTCTATGACTTCCCGGTAAGTACTAGGTCCATGAATCTTTATTTGGATTGTTATATTATTACCAGGCTTGATTATTTGAAGAATTGTTTTCTCGTAAAGTGTCTGAGGCAACCACCGCGGAACAATTATGTGGATATATGTTTGAACGGAGAAGAAAGCATAAAAGAAACCACAAAGAAAAGAAAAAAAAAGTGATCTTTAGTCCTGGTTCACCATCCAGGACTAAAGGTGCACATCCTTGGGCGTGGGCTGGAGGCCCCTTTAGTCCCAGTTGATGTTACCAACCTAAACTAAAGGTCACCTTCCGTTTCGGTTGACTAAACCAGGAATAAAGGGCAGGACCTTCAGTCCTAGATTCGTAATCCCTGCTGGGGAATCGAGACTAAAGAGGTTTCCCAACCGGGACTATAGGTCAGTTCTATACTAGTGCCAGCTCCTCGTCTGGTATGACTTCAAGATCACTGTTCATAGTTTGTTGGCCTCTTATCTTTATGCTCTTGTTCTTGCCTAGCCTGGGTGACAGTGCTTTGTCATTGCTAATTGCCTCTTCACATCGGCTTGCAGGAACGCTCGTGTTTCCTTGACAGTCATCTCATAAGCTAACTTCATGGGAGAGGGCTTGGCTTTCTTCTTTGGCATTGTAGCCTTCTTCCAGGGCATGTGGCTGTTGTTACACAGCGCCGCTTTTGCTTCTGGGGCATGGGAGGCGGATACCGCTGTGGTGATGGAGATGGAGATGCAGCACTTGAATGTTCTGGAGATCCAACTGGACTCTAGCTTGGATCCAAACTGGACTCAAACTTGGGGCCCTCAAGGGTAGCCGAGATGGTGGAGTCATGCTGGGGGTCCAGTGAGGTTGATGAGGAGACGGTGGCCTAGGTGTCTCGGCATCACCTCCAGGAATGTCAAGAACTAGTCCCATATATTTTTTCTCAACTTGCTCCACCCGGACTTTAGCATAGCTTGCTCGAATCTGCATTCCATGGATGACTTCTCTAGGTACAACAGGCGAAACAACAGCGTACACCACCCTGGTTGATCGGTTAATTGCGGGAATGTGTAGCGTACAATTTGTCCGCGGTGTGATATCATCCATGCAGTAGTGCTACATTGCTTCATCGTCGTAAGGGATCCACCACCCTAGACTAAAGGTGCGCGGGACCTTTAGTCCCGGTTAGTAGCTCTAACTGGGACTAAAGTGTGACCTTTAGTAAAGGTCCCTCTGCGTCCCTAGCTGTTGGACCCAGGAGTAAAGGGTGAACTTTAGTCCCAGTTGAATCCATCAACCAGGACTAATTGTCCCTCTGCGGCCCTAGCCATTGGACCCGGGACAATCGCTAAAATTAGTTCCGGGCCTCAAAATGACTGGGACTAAATCTAAAATCCAAATGTTCGTTCTCTACTAGTGATAGAGTGCATAAATATACTGTGAAATGTATTTAACCATACCCTATAAAAGGGGAGCTCGTGTACCAAGAAAAACCGGAGACACTTATTGGCTCAACTATCAAGAACATTATGCTTCGGTAATAGTGCTCAGACGAGCGAAGGCTCTTCGTGTCAATAGCCTTGGCCCGCTAAGGCCTTTGCATCATCCTTCCTTGTAAGGATAGCAAATCCCAACACTGCCTCTAAAACTCATTTTACAAAAAACACAAATCTGACCAAAGAATAGCAAACAAAAGTTTTAATCCCTGGAAGCTCCTGCTAGGAGGAAGCTCAAAGTAAAGAGATAGATTTGGGGGTAGGCGAGATACATGCATCCGTCGAGGCCACATGTTGAAGTGCAGATCTCAAGCTATAAAACTAGTAGTAGATTATATAGTACTGCACGAGTCCACAAGATTCCTTAATGCACTAATTAAGTAAGGCAAATGAAAGAAGAGTTGATCGTCGGCTTTTGATTTGCATGCTCGTGTCCACATGATGGCATTTAATTTGCATCCTGTATCTTAATGGAGATATGGACTTGCTGTTAGAAAAAGAAAAAAAAAATCGATCTGGCCATGTGCACGCGCTAAGTGAGGATTGCTCAAATAGCAGTGACCCCATATATGAACTAAAGAGCAAAATATGCCGAGCTCAGATACATGCATCCATGGAGCTAACTTGTTGAAGCGCACATCTCAAGCAATAAAACTAGTTATATTCGCATGATTCTTAAATGGACTGATTAAGTAAGGCAAATGATAGAAGAGCTCATCATCGGCTTTTGACTTGCATGCTCGAGTCCACATGATAGCATTTAATTTGCGTCCAGTATCGATCATGGAATTGCTGGTAGCAAAAGAAAAGAATCGATCTGGGCATGTGCACGCTTAGTTGGGAATGCTAAATGTTTTCACTCACTACTACAGAATGGACTTGCTGTCCCGGGCGGTAACGGCCTTTAGTCCTGGTTACCGCGCCGGGACAACGATCCCGGGACTAAAGGTGCCACCTTTAGTCCCGGGTCATCGAGCCGGGACTAAAGAGGGACCTTTAGTCCCGGTTGGGGACTAAAGGCCCTCCAGCCGAGCAAACGTGGCCGCACCCTTTAGTCCCGGTTGGTAACCCCAACCGAGACTAAATGTTTCTTTTCTTCTTCTTTTTTTTTGTTTAATTTGTTTTCAGTTCAGTTACACGTATTTGTTTAATATATAATATGTTTTTATGTACGTATTCTATGCTGCTAATATAAATACGCGTACGCATATAATTACATCTAATTCTGATCTCGAGCATTATTATATTCGAATAAAGTATAAACCTATATATATTATAGATATATATATATATGTATATATACAACACTTTCATAATCTTGTTCTCGAAAATAACGATATCAATAAACATTTAATTTACACCATTTATTCCTTAGGATCAAAGTAGAACTCGCTGTTGGGATTTAGCACTTTTT